AGAAATTTGATACTCATCAAATTAATGGAAGTCCAACAACAATTCAAGAATCATGCAGATTGAGGGAGTGCCCCACATGTAGACAAAATTGAGAGATGGATGAATGGAAAATAACCTACCACTACCAAAGCATCTGACTAGCTGTGTATGAAGACAAAGATGGAAAAACAATAATAGAAAAGCATCTAGCCAGCTGCATATGAAGCCAAAGATGGAAAGGCAATAATAGAAGAAAAGATGCCACTTTGATGAAAAAGCAAAAAATGCATGTGAAGATGTAGACCCCAGGAGGAAAAGAATAGAGAGGCATGTGAGCCTTTTTCAAAATTCTGATGTATGGAATGATGTAATAGATCAATAATAGTGAGTTTGAGTCATGTATAAATAGAGGTATTTGGGGAAAGAATGGTATCTCGAGTTAGAAACAATTCTCTTTCCTTAAGCTTTTTTCAAAACCATTTTTCTGGAAACCCCTTGTATACAATAGAAACCTTGTATGAATCATTATAGAAATAAAATTTCAATCTTTTGATATCAGAAAGATATGAGTTTCTAAATTTCCTATCCCATAAATTCTTGATAGATTGAAGAAGATAATTTCTTTCTTACTTTAACAAAGAAAGAATTTTCTTTACTTAAGATCTTTACCCTTAATTCTAAGAAAAGATACAGTGAGGGTAAGAAGCTGAAATAGCAGAATTCCCATTGAGGCAAGATGCCGTTTGAGGGAGCAGTTTGCAGATTCAGAGCCTGAAGGTCACTCGGTTCTAAGAATACAGATTCAAGATCAAAAGTGAGGTAAAATTATTGTCTTTGTTAAATTTAGAAAGAATTCTTCTAATATCTTGAAAGAATCGTAGGGATTATTACTTTTCATGTTTGCAAAAAACTTATCTAACATGTTATTATTATTCATAAAGCTTGCAAAGAATTATCTGAATAATGCCAGGTTATACAATTAAAGGATTAGATAATCTGTTAGAAAAACTAATGGAAAAAATAAGAAATATTTTTACTCAACTAGAGATTATGGATATTTCATCTAAGGAATATAATAATCTTAGTAAATTACATGACAATTATATTACAGATTATTCTAATTTATTAGATCCAAGAATGGAATTATATATTAAAACTCGAAATGAGAGAAATAGAAGAATTTAAAACTATCCCAATAAATTAAGGATATCTTATGTAAAATATGACAAATCCTTTCATTAAGGATATTATAGACATTTTACCAAAAATGAATAGTAGCAGGTCATTTATAAAAATCTCCCTTCATGTTAACCCTCAAAACATGGCAACAGAGAAAGATGAAACTGTGGAAGAATCTGTAGAGAAAAGTATAGGAAAATTTTAGATAATGATCAACATATGGAAGAATCTCATTTTGGGACCGCTTCCTTCATTCTAACCGCATTTATGATGATCGAACAAAATGAGATCATCACTGTCAACAACACGGTTCCTAGATCGCTTTCTGGCCTTTGAATCCAATACAGCTTTGATTGCCTTTTCAATCATCTTCATGGTCCGCTTCTCCCCAGAAGTATTGACAGAGCAACTCGGGTCGTATTTTTTCATCTCATGTGTCATTATTCCAAGCATTCAGCATGTAAGCATGTCCACAAGTCAAAACAGCAACCACAACAAGTTCATTGGTAGCTATTACTTTCTGGATGTCCAACGAGGATCTCTCAGTTAAAAGCTTTGCACAAACACAACTTTGGAGATTAAAAGGAGACCCTAAATTTCGTCCAACAAATCTGGTTATTTTGTCCCAACTGAAGCCAAAGTTTTCACCATCGAAAGACCATCTCTCTTTCCGAGTCATCATGAGCTCAGAGAATGGAGGAATTGACAAATCATCAGACGACCCACCATTCAATCCTCTTGTTGATTCGTAGCCCCAAGTAGGGAGAACAAAAGAAGATGCTTTTTCAGAAATTGAGAATAGGAGAACGGAACTCCATCTGGAAGGGGTTGACTTTGGAGGAAACACGTGACTGTGGGATGACAAAAGAGATGTTAACACAGGTAAACTGAAGGAGCTGAAGGAGATAGCTTAATAAGAGATGGAAACAATACTGCTGCAGAAAGATCAGTAATGAGATTTTTGTTTGGGGTTTCTGTGTATGCATCTGTTTAAGGGTTTGAGTTTTTGAGAAGTTTTATACCGTATTAATTACGTTATGAAATGATTTAATTGATTAACATGGTATTAATCAATTAAGTTAATTTTTTAGGGTACTGGACCTAATTTGCTCAAATGGTTTTTGGTTGGGATTCACGAGTTCTCCACGGAATCGAACCCACCCAATTCCATCATCAAAATAAGTAGAATAAATAAAATTTTAATTTTTTTGTTATGTTTGTATTTAAAACTTACTTGTACTTTGAGAACTTGTATGGTTTGTGTAAAGTGCATTGCACATATGAATCATATTGATAAAAATAAAAATTCACGAGCTTTGAGGGCCAATCATTTTTTTCATTAAAGAATTTATTTATTAATTTTTTTTTTTTTTTTTTTAGTATGGTCGACCATATAGGTGGCACATTTTAGAAATAAAATTAGAAAGCCAACAATTCTCGTCTAGAGATTTTGTTAAATTACTTTTTCACCAGAGAAAAATACAGAGAAACATACTATGCTCATAGGAACTATATTTACCACGCATCACTTGAACCTTTTAGAATCATCTGAATATGGGGCAATACTGGTGAGCACAAAACGAGAGGAGGACAAGTCTTAAGGATCAGAATGGAAGCTTTCCTAATACAACAAAACCATAAGTACAAAAAAGAATTTAGCAAATTTTGTACCGACAATGACGTGGCAAAATATAAGTGAACTGCTTATTTTTCTTTTTTTCCATCTTCCAATGATATCGTGCGTGCCATGTGTTGTCTGTAAGGTTTTTCTGTCAAGAAATTTTGTTCTTGTAACATCATTCTTCCTAATAAGGCTCGATAATTTCCACAAGTCCAAATTTCACTTTTCATAGGACCAAAAATTCTTTCACAAAATAATCCATCTTTTTCAAGTTTTGTGGCAAACTCAAAATAGAAGAGAGAAGAGACAAGGAAAGATTCTTTCCCCAGCCTAAGGACACTGATATCAGGGCAACGCATAAAATTAGTCTAATGGGAGAGATGTCAAAAACAATTTTGCAAAGATAAAAAGCATTAACGAGAAAAAATCCATAGCCACTGCTAAAATATTTTACACATTCAATTGAATTTGTCAAATATTGAGCATTGCATAGAACCATATCGTTACAAGCAAGAAAAAATTGCACCCCACTTCAAGAAAATAAGTCTGTGACCCAGACGACATTTCTGCACGAAATTAGAAATCTCAAGGCATGTATTTATTTTTCCCATCAGTGAAGCAGGGATCTAACAGCGGCAACAGCATCGCCTTTGTGCTCGCGCAATGTTCTTTCTGCCACTTTCTTGTCAAGCTGTTTACCAGATCATAAAAAGTATTGAAAATGCAGAAATATTCATGGAACGAAGTTGAGAATTGATTATATAGAAGAAATCTAACCTCGAGTTCATTTGCGATGATATCCACATCAGCTGCATTAATCTTAACAGCCGCTAATTCCTTCTCCCTATGATAAAATTAACCAAATTGTAACGTTATGCACAAGTACCAAACATATTCATGCGTTGTTTGAAACAATAATTGTAGTTTTAGATTATGGGGTGTTAAATGGAGTGAACCCCCGCTCAGCTTGCTCCTCTGGCTCGCACATTTTTTTTTTTTCTTTTTTTTAAATTTATTTCCTATTATTTTTGTTTCCTGGCTCCCAACAAGCCAACTTGAGGTGACGAGCCAGTGAGTGGCTTGCACAGAAAGAACTCAGCTCGGCCTTCCTCGCTTAACATCCATATTTTAGACAGGGCATATTATCACAGCTCACTAGCTCGATTACTAATTGATCCCAATCATGAAGAAAAAGAAACCGCTTGATAGATTATGAACTTTAAAAATCCCAAAGCAGAATGCATAGGAACAAAAGCTTGAATTCAAAACATCATTAAGGTTTCGAATTTTTTATTCTTATTAGTTTGAAGAGAGCATATTATTAGAAATAATAGGGATTTACCAGAAAGGGATCCATACTTAAGTATGGAATATTCATTGAGTTGGGCTGAGAGTGTGATTTAGAAAATAGCAAATGAAAGCATCACACTTTAAATATTTGCAAGGTAGATTCCAAACTAACTTTCCTCCTCTGTAAATAAGATATGCTCCTAAATCCATGAGGTAACATGCCTAATCTAGACAACAGAATGTTATGTCAAGTTTGTTGAGTCACTAAAATTTGTTATGCACGTTTGTGAGAAGCAAGTTTTAGCCACAACAGCAATAACTAAGTAAATAATACAATTAGCAAGCGACATGAAGACATATAAATGTCACTCAATTAAAACAATAATTCATGTCATGTTCTATGGTCAGCGCATTTAATTTATTGTAGCACCGTTTTAAGTATTCTACACCTTCAAGTCTGGTAGTTTGTCAACTTATTTTATTTACTTTGTACATTTTCTTCTACGACTTGTATAAAGACGATGTACATGTTATGCTTTCATTTTGTACAAACTTCTATAACTTGTATGCATACTTTTTATGTGTAATAATTAAGCCACCTACTATACCCNTCCCCCCCCCCCCCCCCCACCCGCACAAAAAAAATCCTAGTATATATAATGAAAATAAAATGGTTAAAAAGTAAATTTGGAATTTGGAATAAAAAAAAAATAGTAGATAGCGTAATTTCCACTATTTGGTAAAAAATCATCCATGACCAAGTAAATAAAATGTGGGAAAAAATATAGCAGGTGTCTTCATTATTACACACAAATAATGAAGCCACTTATTCATCCATCTTTAGTATCAGAAGATTTCCCCTATGGGCAAACCTAGATTTCATTTTGTCATGACCAATGAAGCATATCCTTAGAAAATACCTAATCTGTCATCCGCAATCCAACATCAACTGCTATCCTTTAACACTCCTAATATCATCTCCACAAACGTAGAAGCTCGACTTCCACTTGAAACTTGCACAAATTAATTATCCATCATGGCATGCACAGTCCTACTCTGTCCTCCTTGACATGACCTAATATGTGATCTCGATAATCAACTCCTTGCCCACACCTGACCCTCACTAGAATGGTGTATCCACTCAACTTTCACCTATTACTCATTGAATTAGACTCAATTTTGGCATGGAAATGGAGCTTGTCCGCATTCTAGTGAGTGATAGAACAATGGGTTGGATAAGAACTGACTTTCAAAGCATCAAGATGGATTTCCTTTCCCCATATATCGTCACTACTCCATAAACATTTGTTCACGCTAAACCGGGATATAGACTATAATATAACGTGCAATTCAGTTCCAATCCTTTGGAGAGAATAAGAGCCCCTTCTTTTGCCGAAAGGGATTTCGGCATCAAGACAGCCTAAGCCCTAAACCACAACATTTACTTTCTATGACAATCATTTTAAAATCATAGTACAAGAGTGTAAGTTTCCACAACATCAACACTGATAAAATGTCCAGAAGCCCCCAACCACATCATCTAATCACTTCTAAATAAAAAGGTAATAAACAACACGAATTTATCTACTGTCTACACATGGCATCAACCAATGATTCTGCAGTGCGAAATATAAAATAGTAATTACAAACCTCATTCTGGCAGCTTGAATATCAGCCTCCTTTGAAGCAGCAATTGAAGCCATAGCCTACACCAAGAAAAGGAGGAAAAAAATTCAAATCAAAATCACTAATCATCCAAATCTATACGTTCATGTAAATAAATCGCAAAACTGACCTCTTGGACTCGGGTCGAATCGAGCTGGCGATCCTCGACCCGGTCAGTAAGCTTGTCGAGGGCTTTGCTCTGCTGCTGCAGGTCCTTGGAGTCCTCCACTCTTTCAATTCCTTCATCCCCTCCCTCCATTGATATGCTATTTTCTTTTGCTTTCAATTTCAAGAACTGATTTTTTTTTTTTTACCAGGTCTTTCAGTTTTCCCACTTTTTCTGTAAGCTGAGCAGAGGGATAAAAGCCCTAAATATTAGGGGTTTTCAGAGTTAGTTGTGGGCTTCACTGTTTTTCAAATTTGGGCCTTTTCTCATTTTTATTGAAACTATAGCCCACTGGATCAAAATATATTCATGCTCAAGTCTTGGGCTTCTGGATTGGATCATAGCCTTGATGCTAAGTATGCCATGGGCTTAAGTTGGACTTTGGATCTGAACTAGGTAATTGAAAAGTGTGAAAGCTTTTCTCTCCAACTCCTAAAATGAAGCAAATTGGTTAACCTTTTATCATAGTTGCACAATCACTTCTCAACGATGAAAACTATATATATAAATCTCCACAAAATTTTCACGTGACTCACACATCAACATTTGAACCAAATTGTGTCTCTTATTGAGTCCATGCCTTGAAATCTGAAGTAAAACCTATTTTGATAAGGGCTATGTGACGTTTTGATGATTACTTGGACATGTCTTTGGGGAGAGATTTTGCGACTATAATTAGATGTATCACATGTGACGATTACACAAAAAAATGGTACTTTTTTTTTTGTCTTTTGAAGACATATTTTACAATTATAAGTGCATGTTATTCACCCCAAACAATCATTTTTTTATTGATACTTTTCTAAGTCAGCCCTCATTTGTTTTCTTCTCTCATAGGTGGGATCTACTTTTTCTTTAAAGGTAAAAAAAGTCAATTTTTATAATCACTACTGAACAAGCCCTAAATAAATATTGAGAATCAACAAACTCTTTTTTCAGAGGTTGGAGACTAACTTTCTTTTCAATCAATAAGTTGAGGATCAACAATACAATTTTTTCTATAACTAATGCTATTATGGTGACAAAATGCACAACGAGATTATATTTACTGGTTTTATAAATGTCGTAAAATACAGGTAAATTTATGCTTTTTTCAGGGTTGGCTGTTGAATTAAATTACATTAATGTTTAGAGAGCTGTTGACCTTACATATTGTGGTTGAGAATTTAATTTAGGAAAAATTAATTTTTCTAAAAATTTGGAGGGTGAAAAATGGTTAGAGAAGGCTTTAGGGGATGCCTTCAAAGTCTATATTAAATATATAATATGTTCATTTCTGATAATGAACATATTATATTTATAATAATGAAGTCGATTCTTCATTAATTACTTTTACAATCTAAAAATAATAATCAATTTTTACACTAATCTAGGAGTGTCAAAAAGGTTCGACCGCTCTAGCAGCCCGTGGCACCCGTGGCTCGACTCGAAAAAAGTCCGAGCCGAGCCCCATTTTGGGGACACGGGCCAAGCTCGAACCGGCCCGCGAGCTTTTATTAAGAAAAAAAGATGCAGTAAGGTAGAATTCTGCCTACCTTTTCAAAGGGGAAAAAAAATCGAGCCTGTCGGGCTCGGCCCGTAAAAGCCCTAGTCGAATTTTTTTGGCTGAGGAAAGGCTCGGCTTGGCTCGGGCTAGTAAAAAAGCTCGACCATTTTAATTGAGTCGAGCTTGAGCATAAAATTTTAGACTCGGGCTCAGCTCGTTGACAGCCCTACACTAATCAAAGTTAGTATGAGTAATTTTCTTGTTGTGTAACTTTAAATATAAAAAGTGATTTAAGGGTAGCAATGTATAGAAATTATCGTAATGTTTTATTTTTAGTAGATTGATGGTCTTCGCTCTTGAGCAATAGATGCAAGTTTCATTTTAATTATTTTTATGTTCTTTATAGCGCAGTGTGGGTTGGGCATGCATGAGTTGAACTATTTGATAGAGTAGCCTGTAGCCAATGTATTGCATGAGTTTTCATGTAATTCTAATTTCGATTGTACTATATGTACATTACCACTTACAGATTGTGTACATACACATAATATTGTGAGATATGATTGGATCAAAATTTCTTCCACCAAACGAAAAAAATAATTTTCCATTATTTTTTTGACACCCTATCACCCCATCTATCGGTGAAACTTTCTATTACCCTTTATGTACAAGTAGTATTATTTTTCTAATTTTGGTACTTTTTTATCCTTTTTTGAATGGATCTACAACTTTTTTCTTTCACCATTTAGTTGCATTCACATCCTAATGTGAGACGTGAGGACCATTGAATGATAACTTCATAAAATTTGACAGCAAAATTTGTGACCACCAAACCAGAAAGAACATGTTTTCAAGAAAAAATAAGCCTGATTAATGAATATAGTTTCGATTGTTTCATGTCATTTTCAAAACATCAATTTAAGCTCAGTCTAATTCATGAAAATTCTGGAAAATAAACTCCCTCTTTTAATTTTAATTGAATACTTGATAAGATCTTGTTTAATTAATTTTGATACAACTTTTGTCAGATCGAGATATTATTTAATTAATTTTGATACATTTTTTTTAGGTTTCCATATATATATGTAGGGAATGATTTTAAAGTAATGTTATTTATAGTCGTTCACTGTGATAGTTGTCTTACGTGGCATCTTACATAGCGGTTTGTGATTTGATGTATTAATATGGTAGTTTTTTCTTACCACATATATCAAATCACTAACCGTTTCATGTGTGCCACGTAGAACGACAGCGATGATGAGTGATTATAAATTACATTATTCAAGATCTTAGGGTCCCTCAATAATGAGAAATCTCATTAGTAGAGTGGGGTTGCAAATTTAGGAAGAGTGAAATTTCATTAATGATTCAAGTCAGTATCAAGCACATGGAAAATACTTAACAGTTGTTAGAATGATGACTTATCTTTCATGAGTGAAAATTTAGCTTTCAGTAAAATCAACTGTCCAATTATACTTACAATCTAAGAATAATAATTGATTTTTCACACTTAGTCCTTGCTTGGTCCCCATTTTTTCAAATTAAAATAGATGAAATAATATTTATTTTTTAAAAATGAGTGGTTGAAAAAGAAGAAAAAAATTTCGATTTACGTTTAATATTATTTTAAGAAAAATTATGTGATTGAAAATAGGAGAGAGAAAAATGAAATTGAATTTAATGTGGGCCAAACGAGGGCTAATTAAAGTTAGTATGAGCAATTTTCTCATTGCGCAAAACTTTAAATATAAAATGCGATTTAAGGGTAGCAATATATAGAAATTATCGTAATGTGTTATTTTTAGTAGATTGATGGTCTTCGCTCTTGAGCAATAGATGCAGGTTTCATTGAGTGTTCATTTTAATTATTTTTATGTTCTTTATAGTGCAGCGTGGGTTGGGCACGAGTTGAACTATTTGATAGAGTAGCCAATGTATTGCATGAGTTTTCATGTAATTCTAATTTCGATTGTACCACATGTACATTATTACTTACAGATTGTGTACATACACATGATATTGTGAAATACGATTTGATCAAAATTTCTTAAAATAATTTTCCAATCTTTTTTTGACACCCCATCTATCGATGAAATATTCTGTTACCCTTTACGTACAAGTAGAATTATTCTTCTAATTTTGGTACTTTTATCTTTTTTTGAATGGATCTACATCTTTTTTTCTTTGTTCACCATTTAGTTGCATTCACATCCTAATATGAGACGTGAGGACCATTGAATGATAACTTCATAAAATTTGACAGCAAAATATGTGACCACCAAACCAGAAAGAACATGTTTTCAAGAATAAACGAGCCTGATTAACGAATCTAGTTTTGATTGTTTCATGTCATTGTCAAAACATCAATTTAAGCTCGGTCTAATTCATGAAATTCTGGAAAATAAACTCCCTCTTTTAAATTTTAATTGAATACTTGATAAGATCTTGTTTAATTAATTTTGATACAACTTTTGTCAATCAAAATATTATTTAATTAATTTTGATACATTTTTTTTAGGTTTCCAGATATATGTAGGGAAGGATTTTAAAGTAATGTTATTCATAGTCGCTCGTTATGATAGTCGCCTTACATGACATTCTACATGGTGGTTTGTGATTTGATGTATTAATGTTGTAGTTTTTTCTTACCACATATATCAAATCACTAATCGTCTCTGCCACATAGAACGATTGCGATAGTGAGTGATTACAAATAGAATTATTTAAGATTTTAGGGTCCCTCGAAAATGAGAAATCTCATTAGTAGAGTGGGGTTGCAAATTTAGGAAGAGTCAAATTTCATTAATGATTTAAGTCAGTATCAAGCACATGGAAAATAATTAATAGTTGTCAGAATGATGACTTATCTTTCATGAGTGAAAATTTAGGGTGGGGTTAGTTTGCCTTTTTCGAGCCATTTTTCGTTTTCCATTTTCGAAAACGCGGAAAACGCATTTGGTCCGTCGTCTTCGAAAACGCATTTTAAAAAACGAGTTAAAATTTATAACTAAAAATGCAAAACGACTTTTTATCATTTTGAGCTTTTTCATTTATAAATTGCCAAAACGCTCAAAACGCGGAAAACGGGTCATTTTCGGGGAAAACTAAAAATCGTTTTGAAAATGGAAATGGAAACCAACCACTACCTTAACTTTTAGTATAATTAATTATCCAATTATACTAACAAAAGTATTGTAGATCATTTAAAAAAAATTCTTGATATCTTCTTATAGAAAGTTAAAAATTATGGTCTTCTTGAGGATTTCGTAACTGAAATGCTGATGATTTCTTAAAGAGTTAGTTTAATCCAAAAGGCAGAAGTTCTCTACATTTTGTTGGATTATGCGCACTTATTCCCTTGATCAATCATCGTTAGGAGATCATTGTATTGAATCTATGAGGCAAATTTTATCGGGATACCATGTACGTCTATTGGTTGCATTACTGTATAAAATTTTATAAGGTCAATATTTTGAATACTTGAGATTACTTTGTATCCTTCTTCTTTCGCTATTAATGTGAAAAACCGTCAAAATAAAATGGACGTAACTTTCACATCAAAATTAACCCTCCCGTTAAGCTTGGCCATTGGCCCGAACATTTTTCTCAACCCACTTCAGTTTTCCATAAATATGCATATTGCTTTAATAATTACTGTAAGGAGGTCTTACAAGTGCTGCATGTATGGTTGCTGTTGTAATGTGATCCAAAATTTAGTAGGTATCGGAGTTCTAATTGAAGTGGTCATGATTGAAGTGGTTATGGAGAAATCAAAATTATGGATTAATAGGAAAAGTCGTTGGATTTTCGCTACCCTATCGCTAGCTGACCGCTTAAGTAGTAGGAAAATTTTTTGGAATAAGGAATTGTCACTAGCCTGTCGTTGAGCTCTCGCTCGAGTGATAGGGTTGTTGCTCACCTGTCACTAGACGGTGCTCAAGTGATAGTGCCGTCCGGATTTTTCGCTTTATGTTGATTTCACTCGTATTTTGACCTAGTTTCTATCTTTTAGGTTACTTTTAGAATTGTAACATGTCACCTATAAACTATAGACTCTTCATTCAGTTTAGATATTGTTGAGATTGTATTTTTCTCTTTATTGATTGTCAAAATTACTCGATTCCTCTACCAATCTCTCTTTTTTATTTAATTTTGTCCTTGTTTATACGATTAATACTTCTTATTGTGTCATAAAACCTCTCCATTTCGTAACAAGTGGTACCAGAATTGCTCTGGTACCTTGTTTGTTCATAACAGTTGCATTTTTATTTTTTAATGCCAACTTCCGATAAAAAAAAATTGATACACCCTTCTGTAAAAACCTTGTACAACTTTCCTATACACTAAGTCCCCGTTTGGTCCTCATTCTGTAGAAATGAAAATAGGTGGAATATTATTATTTTATTTTTAAAAAAAAATTCTTGATTGAAAAAGAAGAAAGTTTTTTCAATTTACGTATAATATTATCTTATGGAAGATTCGTGGTTGAAAATAAGAGAGAGAAAAATGGAATGTAATGAAATGAAAATTAATGGGAGCCGAACGGGGGCTAAAGCGAAATATTCTTCAAACCTCTTAAATTCGTTTAACATAAAGCTTTGCTAGAAAAACAGAGAACTTGACAGGCCCCTTGATCGAACCCCCACCAATAGGTGGGATCCCTTTTTTTGCACGGAACCCACCCCCATAGATGGGGTTCGATCAACAGACCCCCTATTTTTCTAGCAAAATTCTTTGACAAAACCTGCTTCGCGTCTCCTCACATTAATGTGCCTGCAACAGTTTCCACACAATAGATTTCAAAAGCTATGAACTATAGATATTTGGCAAAATTTTGGGGGATAAATTTGAATATTCTACTATTTAAAAGGTTGAATTTAATGGTAATGAAAAGAAACTTTTTTCTGAAAACTACAAAATGGAGACCCGTGCAAGTTTTGCTAAGTCCAGGCTCCTTAAATTTACAGATTAGAATCATATAAGCCCGATTGTAAACAAAAACAGCCAAATCGGAAAATCAAATCGAAATCATATTTTAGAAATCGTCGATTTGGTGCCACGTGACTCCGGTCAACGAAATGGTTTCCCCCCAATCAAAAACGGTTAAAATGGTTTGATTTAGGTTTGATAATTTTAATTGCGGTTTAAAATCAAATCGGATGGGCGAAAAAGTATTTAAAAATAAAAAAAAATGAAAAAATGAATTTTTTTGAAAATTCATCCAAATATGTAAAATTCAATAATTTTGTTATTTGTGGGTATTTTTGTCAATTTCTAATTTTCTTATACAAATATATAATTATTATTATCCAACAATCCTAATTTATATCTAATAATCTCAAAACTAACATAATATATCAAAATCACTTTTTCCTCTTCAGAATTTAGATAACTCCAGTCGACATCCAACACAGTCTTGAGCCACCGGCACCACACACTTCTTTTTCAGATTTTTCACGTCTCTTCAAAATTGAATTGAAGTCCATTATACTAAATCGAAGACAAAGAAATCCTAGACATTTGGTGATAATATTTATTACGAATAAAGTTTCATATTAATAATTTTTTTGGAGCAAACTAAGGTAAGAATATGAAATTAAATGCGTTTCGTAACATCATACAAACGTAAACTTGTGTAATTGTCATGTTTAGATATTATAAACAATTACTTTATTATTATGGTTGATTATTCTCTTTGTCTAATCAGTGTCTTTTTTTTCAAATATGATGATCAAGAGGTCTTGTTGGACATCATTATATTTTTTGGACCTTATATCTAGTTTAGTAGACATGTATTATAACGTTATTGTATCGTCGTTAGCTTAAAAAAGGTGAACAAAAATGAAAAAACTATATTTTAATTTATTGTGATTTCACTTTGGCTTAGTTGGTATTTAAATTTATAGTAAATATATTTAATCTCTGTTTGAGCCATATTTTCTATATTATCGTAATGAGAAAATTGACTATTGGAAAGGAGGTTGGGTCCCACACATGAAATAACAAGTCAACAAAAGCGGCTGAACTTGTGGGATAACGGTCTAAATATTCATTTTTTTGTCCCAAAAATTTGGTTCAAACAGGAGTTTAGTTTGTTTTAGATTTATTACTAGTAAAATATAAATATATATTGAATTCAATGAATTAATGACATAAAAGTATACAAGCAAAAAAAAATATGATGAAACCGGTGGTTTAAAATCGGACCAAACCGTTAGGATTAGGTTTGCATTTTTTTTTCAAACAATTCAAAATGGTTTGATTTAGGTTTGTAATTTTCTCAAATCGATTTAAACGATTTGATTTGAAAATATATCAAAAATTGATAAAACTGGACGCTTACACCCCTAAGCCCCACCACTCCATCACAGTATTAATTGTTAATCAGTGGCGAAACCCCTTCAACCCCCACCGACGCATCCATTTTCCCACAAATTCCTAATCACAAAAGCGGCAAAACACCAACGCTCCCTCATTATTTTAGAGTTCTAATTTTTAGGAGATTTCGCAGAGTCTTGAACAGTTCATTACATTTACATAATCCATGAAAACACAATTTCAATAAATGCTCAATGACAGATCCTTGCAACTTCTGCTTCCCTATTTTTTATTTCAGGAAAATCTTCAGTCAAAGGGTATTTTTAGAGGTAATACAGGAATAGTTAAAAATACGTGCAACTGTTGTACAGGAAATGGAAAGCTGGGCCTTAATTTTAGCAAGACATAGCAAGTTTAGGTTTTATTTTGAATTCTTTAATTTTAAGGTGAAAGCCAAACTTAATTTTAACTATGCATTTTATAGGATTCATGATTACTATCGACTACTCGTTTCATCATATTATAATTTCAACAACTTGTAAAGCTAAACAAGGGAGCTCCCTTAACACATGGATAATTCCTTCTTTTTTTTTTTTTTTTTTTTTTTTTTCATAACAGGGGAACTCGTAATTGCTACCCTTTGGGTGCGTACTGAGTAAACTCTCAAGCTGAAACAATAGCCTACAAATCAAGCCAACCAGGTAAACTGCACTAAGAAAGCCATGTGCAACATGCTCAATCGAAAAAGTGTTGGTAGGAGGAATTGAACTTGTGACTAAAGGCCTCCGCACTGACCCACTCCACTAATTCGACCATCCCATAAGGAGCAACACAGATAATTCTATATGTACATTATGGTGTCCACAATGTACAAGCAACACAATATCATTGGAGAGTTGAAAAACTGTCAAGCGACAATTTTTAAACTCTCCAATGATATTGTGTCGCTTGTACATTATAGACACTATAATGTACATATAATATCACCCTTACCACATTTGGAGCCCATTTAAGATGACCTATGCTAAGGGAGCTCTAAAATAATAAAAGGATCTCGTCACACCTCTTACATGCAAAAAACAGCCCCTAATTTTCTTATAAACTAAGAATATAACCATTAGGCCAACCTAATACTTACCTATGGGTGGCCAATAGGTTGAGCGGCTCGTAGACTCGACTCGGCCCGGCCCATGGGCAGCTCGGGTTCATATTAAGATAAGCCATGGGTCGAACCAAGCTCGAGTGTCGGCCCATTGTTACCCATATATTTATGTGAAACAGTCCAGGGAATAAATGTACAGTCCAACGCCCTGCTAAGTATCTAATTTCATAGCTTTGGAATTGCTTTTCGCCATCTATACACACAAAGTAACAGACAGTACTATCAAGAAGATTTTATGGTTCAAATTGATTGTGATGGAAAAAGAACTCCAGCCTGCATTAATATCTATTGCATGTAGAACAGTTGAAATTGGGTTCGAATTTATTATAGATCATCTATACAGGCCACCCATAATATTGCTCATACTATTTTCATTTCAATGACCTCCGACAAGGTTAATGCACCAATTAATACCGCCCCAACTCTATCCCCTCGACCACATGCTAGAGACTTTTCACATGTACCACTTTATCGGTGGGTCCAAGATATTCTTGCACAAACTCGCTCCCACTTCTGGTTTAGAAATTCATAAAGATGATGTCCTGATCTCTAAAAAACGAGCAAAAGCACCCAAAGATTTATAATGATTTACTGTAAATGTAAATGTAAGAGTTATGTCCACTCACCTTTGCGAATTTTTACAGTAACTAAGAAGAAGAGTAGATGTGTATTTTTGGCCCTCCAGAAATATTAGGTATAACACGATTGGACTCCACACTCTCGAACATGGACAACAATCTTGGCACCAAGTTAGCCCATCGAGAAAAATTTTGTAAGAAAATTAGTAAAGAGAATCATATATAAAGATCAGTTTCGAGCATGTTTGCCTAAGCTTTAAAGTTACTTAAACTAATTCTTTTTCGCCAATACATGTCTGAGCATTTTTGGAAGTTAAAAATACTTCTATATATTTTTATAAGCTTAGCCAAACATGCTGGATTAAAAGTGTTTTTCAATATTAAATCTCAAACTATTAAAGGCTAAACAAGATGTCCTAATCTCATCAATATAATTATGAATCAGAGGCAAAAATTTCAACTATAAAAGGCCTTGTGATGTGGACTACATGGTTCTCATGCATTTATAAAGCCCTTGCAGTGCATTCTGAAGGCCATGAGAATGAGAATGCACAGATAATTTCTCCCGTGAGTGTAGAACATGGATCTGAAAATAGTTGCAGTGCTTTTTTCACTTATTTTCAGGTCTACTTTTGCTTATGCAGGAGGTCTGTCCTTAAACTTTTATGAACAATCTTGCCCACAAGTTGAGTATATAGTGAGAACCAGTCTTAGATCAATCTCCCTCACTGATCCTACTACTCCAGCAGCTATTTTAAGACTCTTGTTTCATGATTGCCAAGTTCAGGTCTTCTTCCACCGTAATCGTTTTTTTTTTACTTTCAGATCTGTTTATTATTGCTCTCGTTAGTAGGAGTTAGACGATTGAGCATGGGAAATTTTGATTGACAGGGCTGCGATGCTTCTATCCTTCTCGATCCAGAAAGTGACATTTTTCAAACAGAAATGGCTTCGGGGAAGAATCTTGGAATCCGTAAGAGGGAGACAATAAACACGATTAAGACAGCCGTGGAAGCCTTGTGTCCTCAACAGGTTTCGTGTGCAGACATTCTCGTATTGGCTGCTCGCGAGGCGATTGCCATGTCTGGAGGGCCAATGATAGTTGTTCCTTTGGGACGACGAGATTCATCATCGCCTTCGAACTTTAGACAAGCAGATGCTTCACTCCCCGGACCAAACATTGGCCTCGATGCCACGCTTCAACTTTTCGCGAAAAAGGGCATGACAGTTGCAGAATCCGTCGCCATTTTAGGTAACACACTTGAACATATTTCATTGTGTTATGATCCGTGGATTATGTTCTAGATGCTCGAATTATTAAATTTTGGATAATCTTTCTTCATATTTTTTTGAAAACATTTTTGTGGAAAATTTTATATACAATGGTTTATAGAAGGCGAATGAAACTAAATGCCCAGGCTTAAAGTCAGGTCCAAATCCATGGGTGCCAAGTGGTGCCCCTCCAATTGCAGTGCAACTCAACCTTTCGCATGTGGCTTAGACACCGTAAGATTCTCAGACGAGTTCGCTAGAAACCCCGTTTGCACATTGTTAGTGATTAGGACTATTTTAAAGAGTATATTCTATAATTTAAAGAGCATCCATAAATTTAGAGAATGAAAATTTTGAAGTACTTCAACGTACTCTTTATATTTAATACTTAATTTTACTCCTCTTAAAAATATTTATTATTTTTTTCTATCTTTTGTTTTAACAAACTTTTCTCTAAATTCAAAACCGGCCCTAGCCTAAGGCAAACTAGGGTACTGCCTTGGGCTTCACTATTTCAAAGGGCCTCAAAAACATGGTCCAAAACACATCAAATCCGTAAAATATTAATATATTCATCTTGTGCTTAGAACTACTCAGAATCCTTCTAATGCCTATTATCTGGTGTATAAATAGGCAACGTGAAGGTTCTTGTCCAAATGTCTTTTGGAATTAATGCCTAAAAAGAGGTGGTTATAAAGTTGGCTGTTAGTTTAGAGAATGAGAATGTTATTGAAGCAATCTATGAAATAGTTGCAAGCGTGTAGTTCCGTTGTCCCCATTTGATAATTACGCTTGAGAGTCTAGAAATAATTAGTCGTCTAAGGCCTCAAAATTCTTGGGGCCGACCTTGTCTAAATTATTATATTATTTTCCTACATTGAAAATTGAAATATTTTGAGTGCATTTAATTATGTAGAATGAGTTTGAAGAGCCAAAATTCGCTATCTAAATTAAAATGTTAATTTAAAGAACCTTTTGGAGCATGATTTTAAGGGTTGCTTCCGTAAAATAAAGAGCATTTCATAATTAAAGAATTTTTTAGAGATGCTCTAAATAAGTAATTTTTATGGACATTACATTTCTAGTTTCTTGTTTCCAACCATAGACATTTAGCATTGGCCTTATTTTGATTTCAGGAGCCCATACCTTGGGAGTCACTCACTGCTTCAATCTCGAGAGCCGTTTGTACAAACAAGAAGTTGACAAAATTGACCCACAATTCGAAATTTTCTTGAAAATGAGCTGTCCATTAAGGTCATTTACACCAAATTCAAGTTTTATCGTGAATGACCCCACTACATTATCATTTGACAACCAATACTTTGTGAATTCAATAAATGGCCGCGGAGTTTTGAGAATTGATGCAGAAATGCCCCTGGATCCGAGAACCGCGCCATTTATTCAAACATTTGCTGATGATCAGGAGGTATTTTTTGAGGCTTTTTCTTCGGCTTTTGCTAAGTTGTCTTCTTCAAATGTCCTTACTGGTAATCAAGGTGTCATTAGGACTTACTGTAATAGATTGTACTGAAAGGCATTATATAGATGATTGAGTTTGTGATTTGAAATGATAATTGAGTTTCTAAAACTAATCAGATTTAATTTTCTAGCTTTAAAGGCTAATCAGAGCTAAATTTCTAGCTTTGTTCATTTATCTCCGTCTATTCATTTGGTTAAAAGGGTTGATACCAATTGATACGGAGTGCCATTTCTAAGGCACTGTAAAGGGCACCGCTAGATGAGTAGTCTACATTATTAGATCACGTGGGTCAATTCTTGAGTCTTACAATGATTGCCGATATCGGGTCTAGAAAAATTATGTAAGTATTAAAAGAAAATTTAAATGCAACACGTGGGTAAAGAAAAATTCCGAAAGACACTAGAGAAGTTTTCCAATATGCATTACCCCTTATAATAAGCATAGCAAGAGAAACATAAGTTATAAGATTAAACGTTGAAAATACTGAAATAAAATACTACTTCCGTCTCATAAAGATATCCCTGTTTCTTTCTTCTTCTTTTTTCCTCACAAATTAAGAAAATTTAGTTAATTTCTTACTCATGGCTTAAGATAATCATCCAACAGAAGATGGACCTTTCCTATACTCCAAATACAAATGAACAAGTGTCATGGAAGATGGAACATTTTTATTTTTATTTTATTGTTCCAACTATAATTGAATAATGAAGTGATTTATATTTGTGATAACAAAATCCATTAAATAGGGGTATATTAGAAAATTAATTTATTAACTATATTCTCAAATAAGAAATTATAATTTGAGATTGACGAAAAATTAAAATGGGACTATAACAATGGGACGAAAATAATAATGTACTTGACAAATAAAGGTTCCTTTACAATTATAAATGAAGTGTTACATAATGTCGGCCGCGGAATAACTAATTGTTGGGCTAGATTTCCAAAATAACGTGGACAATTTCTCGGTTCTCAAAACTGTATTTAATAGCCCCCTACAGTTTGCAGAGTTATTTATCATTTTCAATTTGGATTATTAGCACAAAACGTTTCTACCTTTAAGATTTATTGTGAAGAATGTTCCCAACTTTCTTTTTTAACTTTTTTGTCCTTATTTCCACATTACCCTCCCATTTAAATAAAAAAAAAAAAATATAAAGAATAAATTACTATCTTACCCCTAAATGTTTTAAAAAGTGCAAGTGAGTTCAAATAATTATTAAAAGGTCTAATAGTACAAAACGTCCTTACGTTTGGCCTATATTGTGAAAAACGTCCATACGTTTCAAATTGGTGAAAAATGATGTTTTCCGTAATGAAATGTGGAAATAGGGATGACAACGCAAAAAAATTGAAGCGTAGCGATGTTTTCTGCAAGAAGTATCAAACGTAGGGATTTTTTTTTTTCTATTAGGCCTTATTAAAATATTAAAAAATAGCAAAAAAAAAAAAACCTCTCTCTCTCTCTCTCTCTCTCTCTCTCTCTCTCTCTCTCTCTCTCTCTCTCTCTCTTCTTCTTCTCCAAAGGGTCAACTATCTTAGAAGCCAAAAAAACTCCAGCAAACCACCACCCAAATTGCTAGACCACCATATCACCGAAAAAGTCATCACTTCCCTCAATACATACCACCCAACACCCAACTTTGAACCCTTTATACTAATAAATTTGTTTGGAATTGCAAACCAAAATACCCAACTCGTGAATGCAAATACTGGCGGCATCATCTATTCCGAAGAGACCCATGTCATTTCCAACATACCAATCAACTATACTCAATAGGGAGCCTATCTTTATGGTCTTAAATTATCAATAGATGGTTCAGCGATTTAAGCGATGGGTGGTCAAAGTTTTTTCACTGCTAACCTGATAGTCCCATTTGGAGAAGAAGAAAAAGAACAGAGAGAGAGAGAGAGTGTGTGTGTGTGTGTATGTTTTTTTTTTTTTTTAATATTTTAATAAAGCCTAATAGCAAAAAAGATCCCTACGTTTGACAAACTGATTTTACAGGTTCACTCGATGTAAAGGTAACAATTACAATACAAACAAGCTTCTGAAGATGCCCCGCGTTTTGGATAAGATGATTTGGAAATGGTTTATTGTAGGGCATGTGTCCTTCCACAGACTGATGTTAAAAGGGGAGTTTTACTCGTAAACTTTGCTCGTAATTGAATGAATTTTTTCCTCAAAGACTTGTGAACATTATATTAGGGATTGTTTGCAGAAGTCACATGATAATATGAGCCTAGAATTAATGGTTTGCTGCGCGTTTTATGAATCTTTAATCAATAAATAAAATAAACTCTGATCGTAAGAATTCATCACAATGCCACCATACATCCCAAGAATTAGTTATTATATTTAGATTTCACCACAAACAATCAAACAAATGAATCAACGTTCATTTGTTGAGAACTTGTTCGAACGGGACGTGGGCCACATGGCAAATCGTTTAGGACGCCGCAAAGTTAATTTCAGAATGAATTTGTCGATCTAAATGACATATTGATACCTGAAGATGTTGACATTCACGGTCATGAAAGCCACAATCCAATTGATTTGGATGATATTGACATTCCCAAAGTGGAACATGAGTATGAAGAGCCGAATTAAACATTCAGATGCGAGAAAAAAGCGAAAGGGAATAAACAAGCAAAATGTTGGGGTCACTTTAAATTGATTTCAATGGAAAAATTCGTCGATAGCCTCGCAGAATCTAAAACAGTATGTAAATATTGTCAACAAAGATTGGCATAGAAAAAAGGAATTAGTACCACCCATCTCAATCGCCACTACAAAGCATGTGCGACCAAATTTTGACTTCTTCTAGTCGATCAAACACAATTGCAATTTCACAGTCTAGGCGCTGGTTTGACGACTTCACCCCTATCTACATGGGTGTATTCGACGAAAAAGGCTCGAATCGAAATGGTGAAATTTGTTACTGCCACTGAGTTGTCTCTAGTTATTGCCGACAATCAATAATTCATCTCGTTCGTGAAAGAATATCTGCAACTAAGGTACGTTGGGGTAAGTTGAAACACTCTCCATGCCGATACAATACAATATTTTAATGATTTAAAATAACAATTAATTATGATTTTGCAATAATATAGTGGTGTTATATCTTTAACTTTGAATATATGGGAATTGGTTAATAAAAGAGCTTATATAACTGCAACCGCGCACTATGTAAATCCACTTTGGTGTATGCATAAAAAAATGATTGCTTTTAAAATTATTGAGTTTCTTCACAACACTAATAATATATATAATGTTATTATCAGTATTGCTAGAGAATATTATTGTGAGACTAAAATTTCGTCTTTTACTTTCAATAATACTAGTGTTAATAACACAATTGTCGATAAATTGTGTAGGATACTGCAACTTGATTTCGGTAGGTATTTGTTTCATATTTATTGTATGTGCCGTGTTTTGAATTTAATTGTGTAAGACGACTTAGAATAAAGGATGAATTTCAAAGGATTAGGAACACACTAATATATACCACGATCTCCCATAATAGTAAACAAGCATATGAAGATTATTGTTCCGAAATAGGCCCCCATTTATTTGAATTATAATGGGAGGAAATTATATATATATATATATATATATATATATATATATATATATATATATATATATTTTAAATGAGTGGTTGTAAAATAATGATTTTTATTTATTGTGTAATATTATTTTATTGAAAAATTACGTGGTTGAAAATATGAAAGAGAAAATTTAATTTAAATTGATGAGATTTAAAGGGGGCCAAATGGGGCCTAGAGGTGACAACTGCTGAAACATTTGTTAGCGACGTAAGTCATAGATGGAACTTTACTTACTTGTTATTAAAGTCATGTGAAGGTTTCAAACATTTAATAACTTATTTTTATAACAATAGACGCGTTAGAAGCGATGCCAATGCTATGTTAAATGAATCCGATTGAGTTTTAGCTTTTAAAGTTAAAAAAGATTTTTGACATCTTTTTATGAGACCATAAAGATTTTATCGATCGTTTATTATCCCATAAGTTATATTGTACTTGTACGCCTTTATATAATTGCAAGAACATTCCATAAATATAAAAATGATTATGATTTTAGTGAAATTATAATTGCTATGAAATTAAATTTTAGAAAATATTGGGAAGACTTAGCTATGTTATTTCCTTTAGCATGTGTAATGGACCCTCGATATAATTTATTGAGAACTAAATACGTAATTGATCAAATCAACAAATCCTTAACGTTTGATACACCTATCACCTATAGGAATTTAGAGCAAACATTATGTAAAATGTATGAATTATATGCAGACCGAATGTGTGCGAATTTTAATCGAGTACCCTCTGTACATATTCTTTCGACTGAAATTGAAGATGATGATGCCAACAATGTATTTGTTTCAAGGCATTAATACATATATATATGATACTGCTGTAATGTGTTCATCTAGTGTCATGTCGTTTACATCTGCATCTCATCAAACATCGATTGCAACTAAAAATGCGATGTCTATCGAATTAATTAATTACTCTATTCAGAATATGTTAACAGACAAAACAATTAAAAAAGTTTAGAATAAGTAATTGAATTCTATAAATATAAGAAACGTTGGCCAGTTGTTTCTGCAATTGCAAAAGATCTGCTGACACCACCGATTAGTACTGTTGTTTCAGACTCTGCTTTTAGTGCAGGTAAAAGAGTTTTGATCGATATCAGGAGCCGGCTAAGATAAGATGTTTTAGAGGCGTTAATGTGCGTGAAAAATTGGCAGGACGCTCATTTTCGACTACAAGATAAATAGCCAAAATTGCATGTCGTCAGGTAAGTGATATTTGATTTAATTATATTAATTAAAATTTCTTATTTTTTAATCGTTACATTTAATTTTCTTTAAAAAATTATACACGTTACAACAAGTTATTCGTGTACAATTTTTGACTCTGTCTACTTAAAATTGATGTAGCCGGTCTCAAGTCAGGATAAAGGAGGAAGGTTTACATTTTATCTACCTTAAAAAAAACGAAAAAAATGTATATAAAAAAAAATTCGACTTAAAATTTTTTCTTCATTAAATTATTTTTTTTAAAATGCATTTTTGTTCATTTGTTTTTCTGTAAAAAAATAAAA